AAGCACTCTAAACAACAAACGTGTCTAGTTACAATGATAAGGTTGAGATCGGACGTCAGCATTATCAGGCGCCTCTGGCAGCCGCTTCAGTCCATGTAACGATCTCACCTTCCCTCCCATCCCACCCCAGGGGAGGACATCCACCACACAGTAATCTCGTGCGTGGGAAATTAACGTCTCCTACCCCTAACCCTGCAGGAGACGGGGCCTACGGTTTATTCGTCCTTATCCGAGAAGACTAGAATATCTATCCATTTCTTGATATTATAGAAAGGTAGCAAATTCTCCTCACTTATTTTAAGACCATGAGTATTTGTCCGGCCGGGGCTCGAACCCTCGACCTCCCGCACAACACAATCCGGCGCTCTAACCAATTGAGCTAACCGGGAGGCGGTTAGCTCAATTGGCTCTAGTAGAACGACCCTATGGTCGTTCTACTAGAGCCAAATAACTTTATGAATGTCCGTTCAGTAAAGCTTAAGGATGGTAAGTGGCACATGATCAATTCCACCTATAGGAAGGTGTTAAATAGAGAAATCATTTTGTAATGGACAACATCAACAACGCGATCGCTTTCGGAACTGAACAGTGAAGTTAAAATGCATTGAATTGTAGCAAAATAAATTTCCCTTTTATCTTAGAAATGAAAATTTCCTTGATTGTCATTGGTTTAAAAAACTACTATTTTCCACTAATTCGCTCCCCAAGTTGTTATCGGAAGGTTCAATAAATTAGTCACGTTCAATTTGTAGTTTAAATCAACCAATTATATTCAAAATTGTAGTTTTAAGTGGCTAATCACAATCTTGGTTTCTTTCAATGTAAATTACCCCATCCTTTCATGACTTGGCTCTTCTTTTCTCTGAAATGGTAATTTTTATGATTATTTGGTAAAAAGACTGTGTTGTCCAATTCGGTCTGTGATCGTATTCCTTTTAAACGAATTGGATTTCTAATATGTGGTTGTCCAATTTTGTTATCACCCATATGAATACAAACCAAATCATTGAACTCCACTCTGTCCATTACCATCACCCTACTTACACAATCTAAATGGCTAACACCCACCTAATATAACTTTAGATCATTGGGTTCAAGCCGTTTTAAATGATCACTAGCTCATTAAATATGCATAATCATTTCGACCAATCAAATCCCTCACTCTTCGGTGACCAAGCCAAGGTGATCGCTGCGAAATGCGTCGGTTAAAGCCCGTCTTCCTTGATGTGAAGAATATTGGGCGCGATGGAAGGAGAACCACTGTATCGATTCCGCTGAGAGTAGATCTTTGGAAGCAGCCTCATAAGAGTACGGAGGAAACTAGTCAAGACACCAACAGTCCAGTAGAACAAGATGTCCCTCTTGACGATCTCGACAAGAAGGAACTCTCAACTCAACAGCAAAATTGTGTTTTGAGTATCTCTGCTAACTGGGAAAAGGTACGGGAAACGTTGCTGAATTCGTACATTGAAGAACAGCATCTTCCAGACAATACTAACTGTGTGAACTGTCAAAAGAGTATCGCTACAACACGATGTGAATACTGTGGCCCTCGCCAGTACTTCTGTGTTGAATGTGCACGAGCTCTACATGTCAATCGAAACAAGTTTCATGTACTTGAGCAATGGAAAGTGTGTATGAATATTTTGGGGCCGGTTGTATTCTAGATACTTTTAGTGTAACATATCTGGTTAAACTGTACTTTTATCTTCTTCTTACTTAATTAAGTGCTTTCTATATTCTTGTTCCTTTCACTGTTATCACAACTGCTTTTTTTTCCCTTTGTATATTTCCAGACTGTCAAAGTTTTACCAGTAAACCAAACAGTCCTGTGTATCAGTTAAAGGGTCAGTCTGTTACCTTGTCATGGACTTACAACACAGCTGGCAAGACAGTCACTCAAGTATGGTGGTTTCACAATAATAACTGGATTGCTTCTAGACAACCTAGTGGACAAACCAGTGTTCTTAATGCACAGTATCAGGTATCAGGGCCTGCAACACTTACAATATCAAATGTTCAGACAAAGGACTATGGGGAATATGAGTGTCAGGTGACCTTCTTCAGTGGCGTCCCTCCTCTGATTAAAGCTACTGCTGAACTTATTGTAGTTGGTAAGTTGCTGATCACGACCATTTTGATCTGCAATATGTGTGGTAGAGATTTTTTTTCCCATTTGGAATTGTTTGGAACAAAGGGCTAATATGAACCTCGATACTTGATTTCTTCTCTCTGGTGAATGAAAAAGTTGTTACATAAACCTTTTACAACCCAAATATCAGTCCGCATATTCTGCGTACTGTCCTCTATACATTTCCAAAAGTGCTGACAAGGAGAGTTCCTTCAACAATCAAGAGCTTCTTTAGTTATACGATTTTTCCCACCTTGTCTATTTCAAGTATTTAAGGGTCAATTATTGCTTGTGTTTGATATTATTTGTGTTTTTGGTTCCTATGGTGTAACCAAAAGCTTGATATTATTGTGATCAACAGAAATCTCCTCTGATTTAGTTATACCTGTACAGTGAGAGAAATAATTGTCTTAATTTTGAACATTTTTCTTAGAAAGGCTGTGTCCAAATTACTTATTTGAAAGAGAAACTGAAAATGTCGTTAGTCATAAGGGATGCATCTGTGACAGGTCATAGTACCTCTTTCATCATGTGGAGCAATTACAACAAATGTATTTCAAATTAATGACTAATCAACCTCAAGTTGTTTAAAAAACTTTGATGTGAACTTAACTCCCACGAAAATATTCCATAATGATTGAAACTATTTAAAATTATAATATTGGTCTTAAGGCATAAATTTTTGTTTTCTTTCAATTTATGGCATGATTCTAGAGCTTTCACAGTATGTGGGAATTGTTTATCTGAGACATGTAATTTTCATGGCGGTATTTTTCAAAGAACACCTGATATTAAAAAAAATATGCATGAAGGACTTTGAAGCAATATGTTATTTGTGGTTATGACCCATATTGTACCCACTTCATCTCTGCCAATATCTTTCTTGAAGTTAAAAAGCACTGTATAATGCACAAGTTTTTATGGATTTGAATACACTGTACAGGTGTATGTTGTGTTTTTTGATAACTACATGATTATTACTTGCTGAAGTTGTTTTTGATGTTTTAAAATTGCACCAAACCAACCCCTAATGTTCTATCAACATCATACAGTATATTTTCTAATCCACCAAGTAAATCTCTTTAAGCAAATAATATACTGTTGGGTATTTTATTAACACTTTTCTTGTGAATAGCTGCTAGATGACAGTGTATACAGTGGTTGTTGTACACTGTAGATAGCCACTCTAAGGTTGTTTAAATACATGCTGGCACATCATACATTGGAAAATAAACTTTTAAATCTTAAAATCCTCAATTTTTAGTAACTAAGAACTACATACATGCATATAGTCCTTTTAATTTATTTCCAGGTTTTTTGCTCTTACTGTTTATCTTATCCACTATACCTCTTTAAACAGTAACGACCATTAAAAAAGGATTCGATTTCTTCATGTAGTAAAGAAAATAAAATAAAATTATTTTGTACAGAACTTGTAGGTGTGAAGATATTCAATGGTAAAGATGGTAATTTTACTTGATGAGCAAAAGAACTTGTATTTCAGGGAAAAGTTTACCTCTAGTAGGTCTCTCGCATGCAAAATCTAGTGCAACTCTCTTGACCTGCAATTAATGGTACATTTAAATGTACATGTTTAAAGGAAATGTTTGCTAAGTAGAAGTTTTCCTGATTTTACATTGCATTCATTCTTGTCAACTTGTTTTGGCATTTTTCTTTTTGCATTTGGTTGCCTGTACTCCAGGTTTGGTGTTTTTTAACACTCTTTAATTAATGGAAAAGCACTCACCTTAATTGAGTGTTCCCAAGAGATTTGTATGACTCTGTCCAAAATTGTTTGTTTGTTTAACAGATCCACCAGAATTCACCAGCATCAGTGATGATGTAGTTCTTGTTGAAGGTGAAGGTGACCCCAGTGTTACTTTAGAGTGTACTACAAATGGTGAACCAACACCAAACATCAACTGGACCAGAGTATATGACAATGGAAGTGATGGTGGTGTACTGGAAACTGGGAATCAGTTTGTCCTTGAAAACAACAGAACAAACAGTGGAACATATCGCTGTACGGCATATAATGGGATAGGAACTCCACCAAATTGCACAGTTACAGTAGAAGTTAATTGTAAGTAGATAAACTGTATGTTGTGGATTAAGTTTGGTTTTATATTTTTCATAGACTAGGAATGATTGTCATAAAGGTTAGAATAATGCAAATAAAACTCACGAAAGAAAAGAAAGCATAAATCAAACACAAAAAAGTAAATGAAAATTTACTTGTTTTTTTTTGCGATGGTTTTTATTATTCATGTCTGCAGTTTTATCCAAGAATATAATTTCAAATAGATGGTGGTTATGCAAGCAGGGCATGAAAAAGCCTTACAACTTAGCAATAATGCATTGTAGGATTCAGGGTGAATAAATAAAAAAAAAAGGGCTTACTGTAATTGTGGACTGAAAAGAATTGAAACATAATTAAAATCTGTAATTTGACAAATTGAAATCTGTAATTCTATTTTGTACAATTTTGCAAGTTACAGATTTCTATTTAGCAAATGACAGATTTTAATTTCTTTTCATTTTGTTTTGCAAATTACAAAAAGCCAAAAAAAGCTGTAAGTTGGAATAAAAAAATAAATAAATAAAAGGAAAGGAGGAGCAACCAATCCCCATGTGATGTTGGACTTAGCAGAAAAATATTGGGCTCTTTGGTATGACACAAATGTATGGACAATTTGCTTCCCAGCCCTTCCCCACAATTTAAGGGTGTATAGCAATGTCACATGTTCTGATACTGATGGTCAATCAAATGTTGTTTTTTCCTTTTTCTAGTTAAACCAGAGATTATCAAGCCATTGGTGAATGATTCAACTGTCTGTGAAGGTGATGTTATTAATATTACCTGTTCAGCGGGCAGTAGACCTGCAGTGCATACTTATCAACTGTTTGAGAATGGAGTACTAGTTGATGGAAACAGCTCAGCTGGGGTGTCGATATTGAGGAGTGATTTAAAAGAAGGAAACTTTAGCTACAGATGTGTGGCTAATAACACTATTGGTACAACTGAGGAGACTGTCAATATCACAGTAAAAGGTACAGTGTGAGAATGTAGTTGTTAACTGTAACAGCAATCTTTTTAGATACGGGATGGCGAATGTATGATTGTTTTTTAACTCTCCTGTGCAAAAATGTCTGGCTGGACAGGAGCCTGAATACTGCCTTACATTTGAACCAGACAAGGGCCTACATGTAACTACTATTGGACAAGAGTAGAACTTAAGACAGACCATAAAGAGCCTAATAAGAACCTAAAACTGAGCAGAAAACTAGCATTAATCAACTATGTAAGAGCCACACCAAAAAAAAAATTGTTCATGAGAGAAAACAAGCCAGATACAAGCCAGACATTAGACTGACACTTATTAAGACAAGAGCAGTAATTCAGCTGAAAAAGAGTCAGACAAGAAGAAGTGCTCAGAACAGGAAAACAAGCCTGATATGAGCTGGGCATTCACCTGATAGCACAAAAGTGATAAGTGATGTCAGTACTAATATTGCTAAAAATCCAGCCTTACTTTGGTTGTACAACTCATGAAACACACATAGATAACAACAAAATAGTTTATTGATAAACAAATCTTAATACACTTATAGGTTAATATACAAGGAGTACAACTTTATCTTATCTGAAAATAAGGCAAATGTAGGGAGAGATTCCACTTAGCTGCACTTTCCATTCAAGCTGGAGGAGTTTCCTCATCCATATTCATGAAATTAGGTTACGGTGTGACTTTGTCTGCAGCTTTTGGAATTTGCTTACCGTTTTATTTGGAAGCAATGCAGTTATGCTGAAGAAGAACTGAAGGTAACAGATGGGCAAACTGATTGAAAGCTGCTCTGTAATGCCGAGGCTTCAGGTCCAAACTGCATCCATTCTATTAGTTAATCAACAAAAGCTAATCATTGCTCTCTAGCCATTCATTTGAACTCCATGTAAGTGAAAAGGAGCAATTGTGAGGAAAATTAACTTAACCTTTCCTGTGACCTTTAGAACAGTGGTTAACTTTGGGCTTCTTCTCTACATCTACAGCAGTCCATCTGGCATTATAACATAAATCTTGTTTGGTTGGAACTTCCTTTGCATTGATTAGCTAGGTATCAAATTAAATCTATCTTTTCAAACATCTATCCAATCACAGTAAAGGTACGTTAACTCTCTTAAGAATTGAAACCCTTGAAAGCAACTTTTCATGTAAACACCAAAATTAAAAGAAACATGTGTATCAATTTTCACTGTGTGGGCTGATGTTTTGATAGTTTGGCGGTGATGTGTCAGTAGTATCAGATTCTTTACCTTTACCCATTTTTTTAAAATCTCACAGAATAAGATTATCAGTAATATGTAAAAAATGAGGTTGCATCTTCACTATTTCAGCAACTAGTCATTGCCTCAGGAGGGAAATTCTTGTTGTTGATTTAGTGCACTACTGGTGATGCTTGACCACTGTGCTGTATTTCTCATCAATAATTTGGTAGGGCATGTGCTTGTTATTGCAGTCTGCCAAGTGCATACTGATAATCTCTGCATTTTTAGTACCTTTGAAAGGACACAACCCCTCCACAGAATTGAGTCTTGAGTCAGAGAACTCCTTAAACATTCTGACATATCTTAAGTGTAGCCAAAGAGGGGGGTTCGTGAATCCTGGGTTCCATACATCATCTCTGAGCTTGTTCTTGGAGGGGTCATCCTTGAATTGTTTTTGTGTTGGGATAAGCTGATGTTGCAAAAGAAATGAGGTGCCACAGCTCTGCTTTAACAGTCGTTGGAGAAAATATTAAGTATTTTGTCCCATTGGTCAACTATTGTCTACCACAAGCTAAGCAGCCTTCCATTAATGGGTGTCAAACCTTCAGTGGAGCTGTTGTAGCAAAATCCCAAAGAAAGGTCTAATAGGTTGGGTTACTCAGTTGTTGTTTTCCCATGTACATGTGAAACCACAAACAATTATACTGTTCATTTGTTTTAAAATTGTAGTACCTTCTTCCATACAAGTGATACAAGATCAGAATGTAACAGAAGGCAACAATTTGACTCTGACATGTAATGCATCTGGAATCCCTTCACCAATGGTGTCTTGGATTACGCCTGATGGTCAGAGTGAAAATGGAAGTGTGTTAAAGGTTGTGAACATCAGAAGGAATCAAACTGGAGCGTACAGATGTGATGCCAGTAACGATTGTGGCAATGCAACAGAGATGGCAAGCATTGATGTGCAATGTGAGCTTTTAATATTTACACACCATACTTTACTGTGTAAGATCCTGTGGAGAAAATAATTATTGTTGTAATTAAAGGCTAATGATCATTTTAAACATTTGCTTTTTCATAGTCAAACCTGAGAAAGTGCTACTGACAACATCTGCAATGAACAAAACAGCCTGTCTGGGTGACGTCATCAACTTTACCTGCTCAGCTGATGCTAATCCAACAGTGACCTCATATCAGCTGTTCAAGAATGACAGTTCCATTTTCGATACAAGCATGTCAGGAATGTGGAATGAGACTTTGGAAATTGCAGGAGTGTTTTTCTACAGATGTGTGGCAAATAACACGCTGGGATCAACACACAGTAAAGATGTCATGCTAACAGTCATTGGTAATTTCTTTGAATTTTCTCACTTCTTTAATACTTTTTCGATTCTTTAAGACTTTTTGTCAAAGTCCAAGCTCACAAGTGATTATTGTATCATTTTGTCCTATTGTACTAAGGAGGGATAATCAGTAAGAAAAGCTTGTTCTACAGTATGTTTCCAAATTCATGAAAATGTATCATATTTTTATTAAGTATATCTATTTATAAACTTTTGTTTCAAGCCTGTTCATTTTAGCTTATACCTGTTTGTCAACAGTGACCTTATGTAAACCATACTAAGGAATATACCATTTTACAGTTGCTTGCTTGGTTACCAAGCCTTTGAACAGGAGTGAGGCTAAAATTAATGTGACCTAATGTTATGATACAAATGTTGCTACTCTTCAAATGTAAATTACTTTGTCATCATACTTCTGTAACTAGATACTGATCTCTATCACAATGAGGTCATCTTTGGCCTCACTCTGAATCAAAGGCTTGGCAACTTTAGAAGCACACAACTCAGGAATCAACACTAATGTTAGCCAACTAGCCAAAAACAAGTAGAAATTCAGTTTTGACCAGTGGCTTTTGATTTCCAGTAGCCAGTTTGGCTAGTTAACAAACTGAAATTGTTGTAATGTCAAAGTTGTCAATTATAAGCCACTTGGCTAGTATGTTGAAAAGTTAGTGTTGAGCCCGGCAACTGTAAACTGGCCTATTCCCTGAGAATGATGTTGAATATGATATTGAAAAAAAGAGCACTTTCCTCAAGTACACAACTAACATTTGCTCTGACAAATGGCTTATGCTCAAAATGTCAAGTCTACAAACTTTTTATAGAGGTGAATTTACATTATTTATCAACCCAGTTGATAAAGCAAAAGTACCTTGTAATACCCTCCACCCACACAGCACCACAGTTTCATCAGAAACTTTCCCTTTTATCAATCAACATGAAGGATGTCATCGCATGCTCTCTCCTATGTTCAGCTACCCAAGTAAACAAGTGTGCATATTCTAGTCCACAAAGGATGTTAATATAGTAACATAACTGTGTCTCTGTTCTCATCTTCTCATTTTGTTTCCTAAGGCTGAACACAAATTAGTAAATGAAATATGCAAATGCATCCTTCAATCAGTTTACTTGAACTCACAAGATTTGTACTTGAAATTGTTTTGAGTAGCCAGTTTGTATTATGGGTAATGTTTCATAAGATTTTGAATTGAATCACTGCCCCCTCCAAACTACAATATAGTTGAATAGTGCAACTTGAGAAGTACACTGTAAAAGCTGGAAGTAATATTTTTTTTGTATTTCATATTTTAGTACGTTCATCCATAGAAGAAATTGTTGATCAAAATGTAACTGAAGGAAAAAATGTGACCCTTACTTGTAATGTATCTGGAATCTCTCTGCCAATGGTGACTTGGATGACGCCTTATGGTCATAGTGCTGCTAAAAAAGTGTTGATGGTTACAAACATTAGCAGGAATCAAGCTGGTGAATATAAATGTGAAGCCAGTAATGACTGTGGAAATGCATTAGAGACAGCAATTATTAATGTGCAGTGTGAGTAAATATTATCCTTTACTAACTTGTACTTCTGTCTTAGTATGACCACTTGCCTTAGTGTCGTTTTATTGTTGGACAGACTTGTGTATGTGCAAGACTCAAATGCATTGCTGAAAATTTTCTTATAAGTGGGTGAATGTTAATTTGCTCATTGCAATTGATCAATGAAAAAAGGAACTCGTACCTGAGTTGTAGTCACAGTAAGCTAAAATTAAGGGTTTTCCAAAGTCTATAACATTACTGTTGTTACATAGACAAAAAAAAAATCGCAACTGTTCATGAACAATTGGGCAAACCAAAAAGCCATTTGTGGCCCAGAAACCTATAAGCTGAGCAAATGACACAAGTCTTAAGCGTCTTTTAAACTGGCTCAAGGTTTACTTTGCCTCAACTAATTTTATTTGAAGCTATAAAGTTAAGATTTAACATACGAGCAACGGAACAGTGCTGAGAGAAACGTCAGTGATACACAATTGTTAGCATTCCATCAGCCAGGGGTAAAGAAGGTGACTCCTTGGCTACTGTAAATAGAGAGCTTAAGCACCAGACATTCTTGACAACACGAACGGCAGAGAAGCCGCGTAAGACTGGATCGAGGCCTTCGTTCTTGGCGCGAAATAGGAAGGTTAAGCAGTCGACGTTTTTCAGACACAGACTTCTACCCGTGTTAACATGTCTTTCCTAAAAGATGCTAGAGATATGACCGTAATGAGCATGGGAATAAGTTTCTTTGCCCCACTCTCTTGACAGAATGAATAATTCGTCTTTCATATTTATTAGGCGACTTGAAAATTTACCACTTCATAGTTGTGTAAACAATGCGAACAAACGAGCATGAAGTTTTCAGTGCATGATCTGGATGCCTAGAGGACCATTTCTCTTTTTCTAAATTCGTTAACCACAGCGAGATTTGTTATTCTTATGTTTGTAGTCGGTTGCTCAAAACCTAGCATAGATGCATACGATATACAATGTGCAGTTACAAAATACAACCGATGCAGAAAGACAATCATCTATCTCATTTTGCACTTTGTTATTGTATCTAAATGTCGCTTAAGTGTCTTAATTCTAAATTATCGCTCAAAGTAATTTGTGATAAGCTTAAACCCGGTTTAAAAAAATCTTAGTTCTGCATTTGATGATTCAAATGGACATGAAATCAAATGACTTAACTCACTCAGACTTGGCGAGAAAATTGTCTGCCATTGTCTAATCCCGTTTAATCTATCGATTAAGCAAAAACCACTTTACGCGCTACGAAAACGTTTTTTAATCACTTAATGAAAAGCAGAAGAGCTTTTTATGGTTTTGAGTCAATAATTTATCTCTTATAAACAAAATAACAGCATATTTTTGTGGCGTCCTACCTTCAACCTGAAAAGTGGCGTTCTGGACTCTGCGACGTGACCACGCGAACGTCATGACATGCGCAGTATGTACATAATTCCTCTAATGACTTCTGGTAGGCGTTCGTGACCTCAAGAAAGTCTGGTGCTTAAACTCTCTAATATCTAAATGTAACTAACAAAGGCCAAAGAAGTTATACTATTGTCTTATAAATTGTCTCTTTCTTCCTCAGACAAACCAGACAATGTTCAGTTAATGAGTTCTGCCATGAATAACACAGCATGTAAGGGAGAAGCTATCAGCTTTAACTGCTCAGCTGATGCTAATCCAGCAGTGACATACCAGCTGTTCGAGAACGAAACTGCTATTTTAACCAGAAATGCCGCAGGAATGTGGAGCAAGACTTTGGAAAATGAAGGAGTGTTTGTCTACAAATGTGTGGCCAACAACTCTCTAGGATCAGAAAACAGCAGGACTGTTGCTATTACTGTGGATGGTAAATGAAATAGCCAATTTTTGATAAACTGTACAAAAACTTTGACACTGAAGAGCTAACATTGAGACTCAACAACTATATGGGGAATTAATTGTCCGCTTAGAACGATCTTTAGAATGATATTTGGCTACAAGCCAGTGACCAGCTGCTGTATGTATTTAAACCCTTCCTCGTTTTCACTCTTCATTTTGCAGTTCCTTCCTCAATTATCCAAATAACACCACATCAGAGTGTAACTGAAGGTGACAATGTGACTCTTATGTGTAATGTATCTGGAGTGCCCCCATCAAAAGTGTCTTGGATGACACCTAATGGTGAGCGTGTTAGTAAATACAAGTTGGAGGTTGAAAACGTTCACAGGAGTGAAGCTGGTGAATACAAATGTGAAGTCAGTAATGGTTGTGGCAATGCAACAAATGTGACAAGAATTGATGTGCGGTGTAAGTACATGTAAAAGTTATCCCGTGTTACTTGTTGCTTCTTGTATGTCCTTAACACATTATATCAGTTTGCCATATTTCTCTTTCACATTTTTTTTTTGATGGAGAGACTTGTTTATGTGAAGCATCACTGAAACTTTTCTTTCTATTCCTTAAAAATGGGTGAACAGAGTAATTTGCTGATTTCAATCAGAAAATGAGAAATGGAACACATATTTGAGATGTGGGCACAGGAAGGTAAAAGAAAGGGTTTCCTAAGAGATGGTTATAACGTTGGTCTGATAACATTTGTGAGAAAAGATATTAAGGAATAATTGGGTAAAGTGAAAAGTCTCCATAAGCTATCCAAAAGCTAAGCTAATGGTAAGAGAGCTTGGCACCTCTTAAACTAGTTCAAAGGCTTATTTACCTCAGGTACATGTGGCTATGACATAAATATTTAACCTAAAAGGTTTGGACAGTGCTGAAGGAAACGTCAGTGATAGACATGTGTAACCATTTCATCAGTCAGGGCAAGGGGAGGGCTTCGTACATGCCACATGTAGTCATTAATTGTTACTTTCTTCTTTAGTCAAACCAGAGAATGTCCTGGTAATGAGTTCAGCCATGAATAACACAGCGTGTAAAGGAAAAGTCATCAGCTTTAACTGCTCAGCGGATGCTCATCCAGCAGTGACATCATACCAGCTTTTTGAGAACGAAATTGCCATTTTTAACACAAGTGCTTCAGGATTGTGGAGCAAGTCTTTGGAAAAGGAAGGAGATTTTGTCTATAAATGTGTGGCCAACAACTCTTTAGGATCAGAATACAGCATGAGTGTTAATCTCATCGTGAATGGTAAACAAAATAGCCCAATTTTTAATAAACTGTATATGGAAAGACGGTATTTTGATGGGTGTACTTTTATGTACACTCAATTGCAAAAACTTCGTCGCTTTTAAAAGAGCTGAACGTTGAGACTCAACGGCAATATGGGAAATGATCGCTTAGAATAAAGTTAAGAATGATGTTTGGCTACGAGCCAGTATCCAGCCGCTGTATGTATTTAAAACCTTGCTCATTTCCACTCTTCATTTTACAGTACCTTCTTCAATTATCCAAATAACTCAACATCAGAATGTAACTGAAGGTGACAATGTGACTCTCATGTGTATTGTATTTGGAGTTTCCCCACCAACGGTGTCTTGGATAACACCTAATGGTCAACGTGTTAGTAGAAACCCGTTGAAGGTTGAAAACGTTAGCAGGAGTTAAGCTGGTGAATACAAATGTGAAGCCAGTAATGAGTGTGGCAATGCAACAAAGATGACAAGCATTGGTGTCCAGTGTAAGTGTATGCGTATGTTCTCCTCTAAAGTTTATGTCAATCGATTCACTGAAGTTAGCTTTTGTTACATGTATGATATACACGTGTACAACTTGTATAAATCGGAATGAAGGTAAATGTAATATAAAACAATGTATGCAAACTAATGTGTGCAATTCGCAATACGTTGAGACAACAAAAGGTAACAGCAAAGTATTCACTTAATTATTATTATGTTTATCATATCAAGCTCGGTGTTGGTTTAGTACTTGATTAAATCAATTCATCTATTCGTTTTTGTTTTTTTTTTTTACATCGACTTGTGTACATTGAATTACCTACTACATTTCTAAACAATCAGGGCCGATTATTTTACAAAAAGTTTAAACAGCGTTTATGAAAATAACCGTCTAACCCATGTTAAGACCATGATTAACCACCGCTTAAAGAATAATAACGACTTTAACCTGCTCGGAAGTTGGTTTAGACGCTGTTCGAGGGGCACTTTCATTGCCAGCCACTTTAAAATGTACGCACTACGTGTTTCAGACAGTTGGGGAGCACGCCGATAGACGTCATCCATAGTGTAGAAAAATTAGGCAACTTACGGATATAATTGACCGTTTAGAGGAATTTAGAAGATTTTCTAACTCGCTTTCACTTCAGAGAGGATTCAGTTGGAGACCTCATTTAAAGTGTGGAGTACGATCTCAAATATCAAACAAGAAGAGTTCTGCCACTCGGCACCAACAAACACGCAGCAAGTCTTCATTGCTCTGAAATTTTATGCAACTGGGTCTTTTGGCGTCA